ATATATATATATATAGCTAAAAGCTCTGCTGGTTTTCTACCCGGACGGATGAGCCATGGCCATGTAAAAGATTATGCTTGTTTCTTTTAGTTGGCGAGAATGTGTCGCCGCAAACGCGACAAACATCCGCTGAACTTTGACGAAACGTTTTTTTTTTCTGCGAGCACGGCTGAGCCATTTTGTACCGCTACACGTGTTTCTAGTGGGACTCTGTTTACAAGCACAGGAGTTCAGCGAGCCACCGAAGGACCGCCCTGCAGATTTACTATTGGTTCTGCAACGTAGGGAGTTGTTTTAAACTCTGAAATTGTATCCGCCCATCTAAACACAAAATCAGGGAGAAAGTCATCAGTCTTTAGTTAAGCAAAGCGTCTAAAGACTGACTTGTGAGTCTAAATAACCCCTGCACTCAAGCAACACATGTTGCACAGTTTCTGGACAACTACATTTTGCGCAGAGACCAGTTGAATGTCTCCCTGTCCTCCACAAGGACTGGTTAAACCAGGTGTACACTAATCTCTCAAGACCGAGTCTGCAATCTACATTGTAGAATCTGTCGGCAGCCCTGTGTGAAAGATGACTAAGGGGGGGGGTTGAACGATGCTGCGCTTTAGCCAGTCACAATGGAGGGTGCGTGGCCGAGACGTGCAGGTGTCCCCAGGAAATGTGTACCTACAGAAACAGCAAGCTCTGCGTCCATAGCAAGTGCACCACCCAAACCGCCGTCTCATCAACGCGAAAAAAAAGAATTTTTTTCCAGCGGATGTCTGAGTTACAACATGATTGAGCTAACTGGAGTAGTTTCATGTCGTATCCGACAACGGGAGGCTTTTAACAGATGACGTCCTGATGTTAGTTTTGCTAACTGTCCCTGTCAGCTGCAGCCACTGATGCTTTCTAGACGTTGTGATTTCCCAAAACTGAATAAATACCACACATCGCAACACAAAACTGCTTTGCTAGCTCAATTATGTTGTAACTAAGACATCCGCTGGAAAAAATATTTTATTCACGGACCGTTTATTGAGTTATTACCTTATTTTTATACAGTCTATGGTTATTACAGACACCGCTAACGGCTAACGTTAACAGCTAACGGTTAGCCCAGCTAATCTACGATGTTATTATTGTTATTTACAAAACGTGCACACAGAAATAGTAACGTTTGTTCACTCATTGTGTTTATAGCCTTAACAAACATCAGATTAGTCTACATGGTGATATAGTGACGTGAAAAATGTGATAAATAGCTAAACTCTGCTGGTTTTCTACCCGAAGTATTTGTAAAGAACACAGCAATTCCCTGGGGGCACCGCCGGAAGTGAAGGGCGTGATCAATCGCCGAGGCCCCTGCACTTCCGTTAGTCGAAAAACTCCGGGCTGTGCCAAGCACTTGCATCAACAGCAGTCAATATGGAAGTTCCTTTAAGTAAAGCTGAAGGCAAAACATTTATCAAAAAACAGATGCGCAAAAAATGGCAGGAGTACTGGGAACTGAATGAAACTGGGGGGCATTTTTTCAACATCCAAAAAGACGTTGGTTGGGAAGAAGGCTGAGCGGGAGCAGAAAAGAGGAGACGGTCATCACCTGTCTAAGGATTGTGTCCACCCAACCTGGAAATCCATCGGTAAAAAAAAAAAAAAAAAGTTTTTTATTCCTTTACCTCTGGAGATGGCCTTGGACCAAGACGTCCATTGCGTTGTATTGCACACTTACTACCAATGTGCAATACACCTCCCAACCGCTAATGTGGCGCTGTGGCGCAGTAGAAAGCTGGTGCAGTCATTCATTGCAGGACGAAGAAGGGGTGAAGAAAATTTCAAGACATCCCGAGATAAAATGCATGTTTATTGCCCCCCAGTTTAATTCAGTTCCCAGTACTCCTGCCATTTTTTGCGCATCTGTTTTTTGATAAATGTTTTGCCTTCAGCTTTACTTAAGGGAACTTCCATACTGACTGCTGTTGATTCAAGTGCTTGCTTTGCCAAAATATCTGCATCCTGGTTTCCCTCTACTCCTGCATGAGCAGGAACCCAAACAAAGCAGACGGTCATGCCCTTATTGAACATTCTGTAAATGAAGTGATGAATTTGAAAAACCAGATCTAGCCTGCAGGACTTAACAGATTCAATGCTAGTGAGTGCTGCCCAGCTATCTGATGCGATGACTGCTTTTCTAATGTTGTTCTCCTCTGTCCACTGCATCACTGTCATAATAGCTAGGAGCTCAACTATATATACTGAAAGATGATCAGGGGTTCTTTTCTTAATGGCTTTTTTACATGTTGGAATGTAGATGGCAGCTGCAGTCCTTCCGGGTCTTTTGAGCCGTCAGTGAAAATCCTACTTTTATCATTAAAATGCTGTTCTATGTACACATCTACAATCCTCTCAGCCTGTGTTTGCTTTGAATTCCTTTTAAGCTCTTGTCATATATTCAAATCAACAGATGGAGTCACAAATAACCATGGAGGGATGTGTGGATATGGGACTGTTGGGCTATATGCTATGTTGCACAGACCAAGGCTTTCTGCTTTAGCATTTCCTACCCATCCGAAACTGAAACACCTACGTTCATTGTGTTCCCAATGATCCTCTAAGATTGCTTTAGCATGGTGTGAGCAACAGTGTCCCTGAAGATCGACCC